CTGGGAGGTGATTTCTTGCTTTCTGTCTCTATGTCTCTCTCTGTCTGTCTGGCGAGCACACGTGCCCCATAGCGGGAGAAAAAAAAAAAGAATCTGGGTTATGCACACAAGGCACCCAGCATGCTTTTCAAGCCACCAGGGCTATAATTCAAACTGCATTTGGCCATGTGAGATCCAGCTCACTAGGAATCGGGGGACTGGCCCTGAGGTGGAATTTTAGAATGTTATCAGTAAAAGAAAATAGTTGAAGCATAATTTTGACTCAGAAAAAGACTAGCTCGACCCCAAAAGAGTAATCATTGGAACGAAAAAAAGATACCAAACTGCCTCCAGATTTCTGCTCCTGGAACAAAGTAAACGAGCTGAATAGGTGGCAACCAATCCAATAAAACTTAATTTCCACAGCAGGGGGAAAAAAAGGGACTTTAACAATATGCACTAATACTCTTGAAAAACAACTTTTGAAAAACAAGTTACTGATCCAACAGCTGGAGAAAACGAAGAAAACTCCAATCAAGCCATTAGGAAACCAGCTTTACAGTACATACCACAGAAGTGTGACTGAAAGGGAGGCTGTGGGGCTGCTTTATCTAACGCAAAACTGTGATGGACCAAAGCCACCACTGCAATAACCTGCAAAGAGAGGAGGGGAAATACCACTCATCACAGCACCTACTATACAGTCTCCATTTTCACTAAAGCCAGCAAGAAGGTTAAAAGGTACACATTTTGGTACATAAGAATACTTTTACCTTTTTATTATAAAAATACTTAAACAAGAAATAGAAGAAAATAAACTCCCACTTCTAGTTACAATTAGCAACTTATGTATATCCCTCCCTACTTCTTGCCTCCCTCTAAATTTTTTAAGTTCTTTCCCTTCAAGGTTCCTTCCCCTTCTTTCTTCTCTTCCCTTCCTTCCTTCCTTTCTCTCTCTCTCTTCTAGAGACAGGCAACCTCAACAATCTCTTTATGTCGTGATCCACTCCCAGCCTCAGCCTGCCTGGCATGCACAAGGAGGCCCCAGGATGCAAACTCAGGACCTCTCCACATAGATCTAGCACGACACAATGCTGCATTACCACTGAGCCACCATATGTACCCAACCCTGCCCCAGATAATTTTGAAAGAAAACCCAGACCAATCATTTTATCTTGAAGTAGCTCACCAAGAATCTCTAATACAGGGCTTCTCAACCTCCACACTACTGACATTTTGGGCCAAATGATCCTTTGCTATGAAGGCTGCCTTATGCTCTTCCGGATGTTTAGCCGCATTCCCAGCCTCTACCCACTACACACCAGCAGTACCACCCCTCAGTCCCCTCCAGACATAGCCGAATGTTCCCCCAAAGGCAATATTTTCCTGTTAAGAATCACCACTGTAATACAGAAGTTTTAAATGTAATTAATATACAATGATTTCAACTAATACAATCAGCAGTAGCTTCTTTTTAAAAATTTTATCTGCTACTATTATTTATTTTTTTAACCTGACCAGACAGAGAAAGAGAGAGAGAGAAAGGGAAAGTGTGAAAGCAAGCCACCAGGTCTGGGACTCGAACAGCGGTCGGCCACGTGGAAGTCCAACACCCTAACCACCACACCACCTGCCACTTCCCAGCAATTCACTGCTTCAAGAAACTTGGTTGTTTGACCAGTAGCGCCCAATAGTGTAGATTCCACTATCGAAAACTCAACACTGTCATTTAACACATTCTTCTGTCTCTGTACAGCCTGTAAAGTTACATCAAAAGGCTTGATCAAAACCAGTTTCAGGGCCTGGCTCCGTGGCCTGATCATTGAAATAGTCAGACCCCACATGGCACACTATATTGTTCGAGTCCTAAACCTGGCAACTTGGGAAAAATGCTGAGCATTTTTGTGCATACATGCCCAAAATCCCAAAAGAAGGGAGATATGGAGGAGAAGGGATTACAGCACGACCATGCTCCAGAGATGGAGCGCTTTCTCCTTGCCTTCTCTGTCTCTCTCTGGTGAGTACAAATATCCTCTAGCACATACATACACACACACACCCCAAATTAAAAAAAAAAAAAACAACAACCGAGGTTCAGTTTTTTGGCAAGAATAATTTAGAGGTGCTAGCTATTACTTCTACCAGAAGGCCTGGGCGCATGTCTGCTTATCTCTCCTTTAATGATATAAGCAACCACTGCTGATTGCTGCCTAGATCCAGTGAGTTCACTGGGGATTGCTAAGTGGTAATATTTCATTTTTCCTTGATCATGTGTCAGCTGGAAACCTTCTATGAAGAGAAATTTTCATCAATTTGGAGGCCCTCGGGTACAGTATTATTCAGAAAAGTCATGATCAGTGTTTCATTCAACCCCGGTATTTACCAGTTTTCAAAAGCATGAGTTGCTTCTCTAGCTACCTTCATAAGTGACCGAGGTGGTGGTGTTACTGTTGACGGTATTATGAACTCATGGACTTGGTATTTCAAATCTGTTGCAGTTATTCTTATGCTCACACTATCCCATCTTCGGCCAGTAGGAAACTCTTCAAGTTCATTCCTGAGTCAACCTGACATATCTTTAGTAGATTTTTATATCGTCCTTGCTCTGTGATATAACAAGATGTTCCAAGACTAATCCTAGACATCTTCTGCCCGAAACCAGCCACTTCTCCTCTGAACCCTATTTCTTTCATTGGGAAATGGCATGTGGAAACCTCACTCGGGGCACTAGGGGATGACTACTTTATACATTTTTAGCTAAGAACTAATTGAAGCTTTCCTAAACACATATCTCTTCACTATATCTATTGACTGTATTTATTAATCAATGCTCAATTTAAGAAAAAAAAATGCTCAAATTAAAAAAAAAAAAGCAAGTGAAAATACAGCCAAAATCTGTTTTAAAAAAAGATACCCTGGGACCAGCAATTGGTGTAATGGCTACGTCGCTGGACTCCCATGTAGTCAACCGCGGTTCGAGTACCAGACCCGATGGCTTAAACTCACACCAGGCGCATGTGCGTGCGTGCCCAGGATCCAGAGAGGAGAATGGAGAAGGGATTGTGACGAGGCCATCCCCCCCCAAGGGGGTGATTTCTTGCTTTCTGTCTCTCTGTCTTTCTGGCAAGTGCACATACCCTATAGCAAAAATCTCTCCCCTCCAAAAAAAATGATTCCCCATGATGTCATTAAGGATTTGGAAGAAGACATAAAGAAGCTCCCACTGACCAAAATGAGATGAATATAAGCCTCAAAAATACGTAACGACAAAAATAAACACATTTCGGATCAGCAGATAGCATAATGGTTACATTGCTGGACTCCCACGTAGTTGACCATGGTTCAATCCTGGATGCAACGGCTTAAAACATGCCAGGCACATGTGCAAGTGTGCCCACAATCCTGAGAGGAGAATGGAGAAGAAGAGGGGGTGGCATGGCCATCCCCCCCAGGGAGTGACTTCTCGCTTCCTCTCTATCTCTCAGACGAGCACACATGCCCTATAGAAAAAAATCTCTCTAAAAAATAATATTAAATTGGGGACAGCAGGTGGTGTGGTGATTAAGGACACTGGACTCCCATATGGCCGACCGCAGTTTGAGTCTCGGACCTGGTGGCTTGCTTTCTCACTCTCCTCTCTCTCTCACTCTGTCCCTCTCTGCTCAAATAAAATAAATAAATTAAGTTAAATAAAATAATTCTTAAAAAAAACTTCTAAAAAATTAAATTAATTTAAATTAAACACAACCAATTGACAAATACATATAAAATCCCTGGGCGCTTAATGATAGTCAAAGGGGAAGTAAAAAAAAAAAAAAAACAAAAAAACAAACAAAAACAAGTCATCTCTGCTGATGTTACTGGGTATGCCAATGGTATTACATAAGAAAGTGTGCATGTTTTGAGATAAGCACACCGAGGTATACAGGGGTAAAAAGATATGGTGTATAAGACTAACTTTAGAATACTTCAAGAAGAGGGTCCAGCTGGTGGAGTGGGTGGTTAAGGCATCTGGATCCCACATGGCTGACTGTAGTTTGAATTTGGACCCGATGGCTTGAAATACACACAGGATACACATACATGCACGCCCAAACTTCAGAGAGGAGAATGGGGAAGACGGATTACAGCATAGCCATCCCGCGGGGGCTTTATCTCTCTCTCTCTTTGTAGCCATCCTATAACAAGCACATAACAAGCACAGACATTCTATGGCAAAATTAAAAATAGTAATAAAAAAATTCTTTAAGGGACCAGCAGTTAACATAATGGCTATGTCACTGGATTCCCATGTAAGCGACCACAGTTCGAGTCCCGGACCCAGTGGCTTAAACTTGGGGCAGGCGCGTGTGCGTGCATGCCCAAGATCCCGAGAGGAGAATGGAGGAGAAGGGATTGCGGTGTGGCCATCCCCCCTGGGGGGTGATTTCTCACTTTCTGTCTCTCTCTGTCTTTCTGGTGAACTATAGCCAAAAAACTTCTCCAAGGAAAAAAAAAAAGCTTTAGTTCTTTTTTTTTTTTAAAGCCTCAAGAGAAAAAAAGGCAGGGTAGATAAGTAAGTGTGATAAAAATCTTCCTACCTTAGGACCAGGTGGTGGCACAGTAGTAACACAATTGTGCCTACATGAGAAAAGTCCTGGTTTTGCAACCTGAGACTTCCCTGAGCAGATGGGGTACACCTGCATACCTGTGATTGGGTGGGCTGAAGCTGGGAGTAAATTGTGGTAAGAGCCTGTTGGAAGTGCCTGTCTCTGTTTCTCTCTCTCTCTCTCTCTCTCTCTCTCTCTTATGAAAAAGTAAACTATTAAGAAAAAAATTTTTTGCTACTTGCTGAATATGAGCGATCAGTATAAATTCACTGTATTCATCTGTGTCCACTTCAAGTTCTCCAAACTTTCTCTTCCAAAAAGAACTTTCTTTTTAGGTTTTTGCCATAGGGTATGTGTGCTTGCTGGAGACACACACACACACACACACACACACACACACACACACAGATAAAGAAAGAGAGAGAAGACACCCTCAGGGAAGATGGCTACACTGTAATCCCTTCTCCTCCATTCTCTCAGGATTTTGGGCATGTACGCACACCTGTCGGACATGATTTTCAAGCCACCAATTCTAGAACTCAAAATGCAGAGTTGGCCAAGTGGGATCTAGCACCTTAACCACCATGTCACCTGATGGCCCCAAAAATAAAAACCTTAAAAACCAAAAATAAACATAATTCTAGCAATTTGTCTTTTTTTCCCACTCTGTCTATCTATCTATCTATCTCTATCTACCATTTTATTTTGACCAGAGAGGGACAGAGTGGGGGGGGAGCAAGCCTCCAGGTCAGGACTCAAATAGCAGTTGACCATGTGAGAGAGTCTAGCGCCTTTAACCACCACGCCAACTGCCAGCCCCAATACAGCAATTTAAGTCTTAAAAAAAGAACTGGGCCAATCTCATAGCCTACTGGTGGTTAAGGGAGCCAGATAGCACATGGCAGATTATCGTCCAAATCCTGGCCCAGGCAGCTTGAGAAACATGCCAAACACTTGCGCGTGCATGATCCAAATCCCAGCAAGATGGAGAAATAGAGAAGAAAGTACTGCAACATGACCATGCCCCACTAGCTAGTGCTCTCTCCCTCTGTCTGTTTCTCTCTGGAAAGCACATGCACTCTCTAGCAATTAAAAAAAAAAGCCTCCAATGCCAGACAAATTCAATTCATTCTCCAAAATGGAGTTTGGTAGTGAGTTAGTCTTTATCTTCCAAAAAGAACAATTTTCCTTTGCAGAAAAGCTGTAAAAGTATAGGCAAGTATGCATCTAAGGCATAGGTATGAAATTTGTCCTATTTCTTTACCTCATTTTGATGGTACTTTGCATTCTGCATTGTCTTCATGCTGAAAGACATCACCACAAGTGGAGGAGGCCCAACGTCCTTAATTACATTCACCAAGTCTGGTTTCAAAGCTATTGCCTCAACTTTACACCAACTGATTGGCGGATTTAAGAGCTCTTAAAGAGAACAAATACAAAAGATCAATAGTTATTTACTGAAAAAGATAAACTATTAGAAATAAGACATCTGCAAATAACTGAGATATTATTCAACCCTGTCTTCTAATAAGAAGACCAGAAATCTAAAAACAAGCCATATTATTGGGTTGTATGCAAAATCTCATGTGTGTGTACATATGTTCACTTTCCCAAGGGAAAAATAAATACAAAGCTTGGGACAAGCAGATGGCATAATGGTTACATCGCTGGACTCCCATGTAGCTGACCATGGTTTGAGTCCTGGATCCAGTGGCTTAAAACTCACACTGGGTACATATGTGTGCATGCCCAAGATTCTGGGAGGAGAATGGAGAAGAGATTGCAGCATGCTCATTCCCCCTGGGGGGTGATTTCTCACTGTCTGTCTCTCTATCTCTATCTCTCTGTTGAGCACATGAGCCCTATACCAAAAATCTCAAAAAATATGGGACCAGCAGATGGCATAATAGTTACGCTGCTAGACTCCTATGTAATCGACCATGGTCCGAGTCCTAGACTTGGCAGCTTAAAATTCACACCAGATGCATGTGTGCGAGCCCAGGATCCTGAGAAGATAATGGAGGAGAAGGGATTATGGCACAGTAATTCCCCCTGGGGAGTGATTTCTCGCTTTCTGTCTGTCTCTCACTGTCTGGTGAGCACATGTGCCCTCTTGCAAAAATATCTCAAAAAAAAAAAAAAGGAAAGAAAAAGAAAAACAAAACATAAACATAGCTTTTGTCAGATTCTCCAAAGAATCCAGGACCCAAAACAGGTTAAAATTTAAAAAATGCACTGCCATGGAGAAATTATCAAATGTTTTTAAGAGATTTCACAAAGACTAAACAGTATCGAAGATGAAAACACTGAAAAAATGTGTCAAGTAACAGACCAAACAACCCTATCCATACTGGGTGGTGATTCTCCCCTCCTCCAAAGGTCCACGGCTCACTGTGGAGAATAGCTGGATGACATGAGCCAGGTTGGAAGCACAAGTGATCAACAGCGTAATGACGATGCACCCGAAACAGCTGCCTGACGTAACAAAGGCCTCCCTCAAACTAAACTGCCAGGCATTATGGGCAAGAAAAATCTCGAAGAAGCAAAACAAAAAGGAAAGTGGATACATACTGTTTCCCAACCTTTTGGCTAAGACCAAGTACAGAAAAGGAACACACTAAAATAAACAGACCTTTTCTTCACCTTCCCTTTAAAAAAAAAAAAAAACTATATCAGCAATCTATTTAACATGCTAAGAGGAAATTTCTCCTTACGTGGATTTTTTACTTCGAGCCAACAAGGTCCTTTGATCTTTCTGTTCATCAAGAACAGTTCCAAGCTGGATGTGTTGGTCCCAAACACATGAGAAAAAGTTTCTCCTTTCAAGTCCTGAGGAAGCTGTGGCCCTTCAGCCTAAAAAAGACAAAAACAAAAGCAAACCAAAAAAACTCCTTTTTTTTAAACTATTACTTCACATTTTCCAAAGTCTATATTTGAAATAAACAAAAGCCTCTCCATGCAGCACCAGAAGAAACCTCTTTGATATATATGAAATGTAATTTGCTGCAAATGAAATCCAAAACAATTCACAGTAGGAAACAAAAACAATTCACAATGACAAAATAATGCATCTTGATGACACCCATTAGAAGAAAAATAGGCCAAGAGGCTCCCCCAAAAGAGAATTTCTGTCCAGAGCTATACATGCTTCACTGATAAAGAATAGCCAAGTAAGTACTACTCCGTTAGAAGAATAAAAGCAATAGAGTGGGATTCAGTGAAAATGCTTCCATGGTACTTTTCATCACCACTCTCAAAAACATTTCTTAAAAGTTTCCCTTTTCCAACATCATGGGATCAAAACACTAGAACAGAGGTAAAAAGAGGTTAAGGTCCAGTTAATTAACATCCTGCAGCAACGACCTTGCCTGTCACAGGAGCAAGAGCAGCACTATGGGGATGCTACTGACACTCCTCTCTCACCTTCCCACTGCTCATAAGGGACACTTCAACAGACTAATGATGTCCAACTCCATCATGTGGCATTCATTCCACTTGACAAACAGTCGTGCTGTTTCAACTTATTTATGTAAAGATGCATACTTGAAAGCACAGCAAAGCAGTATAACCTGTAGTCTATGTACTTAAGTTAATTTTATCCATTTCAATTATTCATTACTAGAAGTCCACCTCGATGAACTGTGAGCTACCGGAGCCCTGCCAATGCTCCTAATTGAAAGTCAGTTGAAAGTTCAAAAAGAGAAAAATGTCATTCTCAACCAAAACCCAGTAATTTTCTTTGTTTGACTTACCGAGTATCTAACTTCCAAGTACTCAGATTTTTCGGGGACATCAGGTATCTCAAAAGCATAGTTCTTTTCCACTATCTAAGTAAGCAGATATTTTTAAAAATCATTAAGACAAAAACTTTTCACAAATTAAATTGACAAGTGTTATATACAAAATACATAGGATTATACTTAATCATCTAGAATCTAGCATCCTTATGGAACACAAAGGTAAATAAAGCCAAAAGACACTCTTTTTCTTTTCAAATGGGACTAAAACACCCAGTGACAAAATGCTGGAAGGATTTCTTTTAGACACTCCAGAACTTAGAAATATTTGCATTTAAGAGGGGCAATAGGGCTGGCTCCATGTCCTGGTAGTTGAAGCAGCTGGATCCCCCATGGCCAACCACACAGTTCAAGTCCCAGACCTAGCGGTTTCAGAAACACACTAGGGGTGTGTGTGTATGCGCGTGTACACACACACATGCACATGTATGTCCAACATCCTGAAAGGAGGGAAAGATAGGGGACTGTGGTATAACTATCGCTTGTGGGGAGTGTGTTCTCTTCTCCCTCTCTGTTTCTCTGCCAAGTACATGTACTCTCTCTGGCAAAAAAAAAGGGGGGGGGGCAATAAAAGATTAAAATGTTTTTAATGCTAATGAATTAAATCATTTATTACTATTTGATATTAAGAAACTCCCCCTTGCTAGAAAAAATACCGTTATGATTACAGCTCATATTCACTGAGTGTGGACTGTGTGTGTGTTAAGAACTGTTCTAATCACTTAATAGGGTCCTATTTCTCAATGAAGGAAGAAGCCAGACAAGTCACTCAGCAGCTGCCCAAGGTCACATGCTAGTAAGTGTAGGGCTAGGATATAAAGCCCACTGCCTGTGTTCCTCAGGGCTTGTTTATTTTTTAAGCTTATTTCTTTGACTATTGAGAGAAACAGAGAGACAAGCACAGAGACAGAAAGAAAGAAAGCATCCCCAACAGGGTGGTGATACGACGATCTACACCAAGCCTCAGCCAGCCCTGGTCATGAGCTCATGCATGCCTGGCATACTCAGAGAAGTCTCTAGACAAGAACTTGAAACCTTCCCATGTGGGCCATCCTCACAGAGCATGGCATTTTGCTGCTGCACCACCATATAGCCTCTCTTCATCATTACACCATACTGCTTCCAACATTTTTAAAGACGTGACCCATCAGCCACCATTCAAAGCTCAAACACTTCACACTGTTAACCTCATCCTCAGTAACTCAGTTCTCCCTTTATTGCAATTACTATGAATAGCCAGTATTTGAATGGACTATAGCCCCTACAGTTATGACCAAAGGTATCAATATCTCAATAAAACCAAGACAATTTATCATTCAGTATTAAATGAACGGATTTTCCTTCTATCAGAAACAGCATGATAGCCCCTGAGTTTTTTTCCTTTATCTTATTTTAGGTTTTTGCACACACACTTGCCTGAGAGTGACAGAGAGAAAGAAAGAGAGAAATCACCCCACACACACACCCAGGGAGGATGGCCACGCTGCAATCCCTTCTCCTCCATTCTATTCATTGGGCATGTGCACATACACGTGCCCAGTGTATTTTTCAAGCCACCATGTCCAGGACTCGAACCAGGTAGAATCCAGCACCTTAACCACTACGCCACTTGCTGGCTCCACAGTGCCTGATTTTTAAAGATAAAACCTCATTTAACCTTCTAATAAAAACATCTTGGCAGTAACTAACATAAATGTGATCAGAACGGTTTCTTATCCATTTTAGAATAAGAGCCTAAAACGTTATAAGGACTGAAAACAATTGACTTGCTATGCATTATCTTTCTACTAAAATTAATGAACATTACTTTACAAGCAGTTTAAAGAAAGAGAAAAAAATATGTTTATAAATTTAATACAGCATTTTCACTTTTACAACTATGAAATTTCCATTCGGTGAGCTATAGCTATGCAGAAAACATTCTGTATGAAATAGATATACCATAATTATTTGCTAAATCAGGAAACAAACAACAAGCAGAGCTGGAAAAATATTTCATCATCAAATACAAACCTTAGACTTGAACTTCATAATTTTATATTTTGTTGCTATTTTCTCATCAAATTCATCATAAACATCCTTCATCGTAACTGGAGTTCCTGTTTCTTTCCCTGTATTTAGGTCAATCTTCTATTCTCCCATGGAGAGGGGAATGGAAGGATAAAAAAATTATCTGTATGATCTACACAACCACCAAAAACCCAAGACTGAAAACAATTTTCATCCTTACTCATTTAAACATTTAATAGCAATCTTACAGCTGAGTTCAAAGATATCAACAGGCCCCCGAAATGTACTAAAACCAATGCCCAATTCCTCCCAATGGCACCACAAAAGCGGATCAATGATAAGGATGACCTAGCCTACAAAATGGGAGAATGATGTTGGAAATCTTGCCCAAGGAGCTCCATGGTTCAACTGAGATAGGGAAATATGGGGATGGAGGAGACTGGGAATGTTAAGTCCAGTAAAAAAGGAGGAACAAATGGAACTGACCTTGTCAAATGGCCATGGAGCAGGGAATGTTAGAGCATTCTATACAGCAAAAGCATGAAAATTGGGCCAAATACCATGACGCATTTTATGGCCTTAACCCCAATTATTATGGAGATGAATGGTAGGGGGAAAACAGGGTTATATACTAAAAAGATACTTTTACGTTCCTCCTAACAAGTGGAAAAAGTGAGTTCTACTTCATTTCTCTACTTCTCCCAATCTGTAATGGAGTTGCTGACAATCAGAAGTCACTAGGCAGGCGCCAAGAAAGAAGCATCAGGGTTCTAAGAATTCATTCCCTGCTGAAGGACAGGGTTTATGGCAGATCACAGAATGGGAGTTATATATAATCACTGAGAACTAAAAGCTGATCACGAACATTTACCATTTCACGAGGAAGGAAGTAGAGTGTTCGCTCGATGTTTTTCACCATTACACAACAGCTCACATGGGTTTTGGCTGATTCAATCCGAACTTTGCCAAACACAAATGCTATACCTAAAAGAATAAGGAAAAACCACAAGAAAAGAAATATTTCAATTACATCAAATTAAAGGGGCTATAGGCTCATTGAATCCATCCATACCTTTTTCTCTTTCAAGAACTTTTTTTTTTCACATGAGTTTTGCCAGAGAAAGACAGAGAGAGAGAGAGAGTGTGTGTGTGTGTGTGTGTGTGTGTGTGTGTGCACGTGCATGCATGTGTGCTTGTCAGGTCAGGTTTCCTTTGTTTGTCCACACCACCTGCTGGTCCCTCTTTTTTTTTTTTAATGTATTTTATTTATATTTCTTTTACACATTCAATCACGTATGTCAAAGTAAATATTCCAACATGTATTCATTTCTCACCAATCTAGCTGGGAATATTATACACATCATCCTCAACAAACAATAAACCATCTCTCTGTCCCACAAATGCCCCGCCCCTCCATTTCTCTCCCCAGTGTCCCTCTTCAGTCTCTCCTTCACCCACCCTCTTCCCATACTGTATCTGGTATTTATAACCATTTTCTATGTTTCTATATGCTCTAGTCATTCCGTTTCAGCTATACACTCAGTATATATTAAGTGGAGACATACAATGTCTCCTTCATAGCCTGGCCTGCTTCACTCAGCAGTAAATCTTACATATTGATTCACTCTCTGTCAAATGCCAGGATCTGTGGGACGCAGATATGGTTTATTACCTGTTGATGACGTGTACAGTATTCTCAACTGGACTGGTCTGAGAAGTATTTCATGTTGGGTAAAGTCTTTACCAGCAAAATGAAAAATAGTGATTGACTGGTTAAAAAAATAATTGGAATAATAACAATGATCGGGAAAAACAATGAAAAGATATTGAATGATGAAGTGGGGATTTTAATGTCTCTGTATTGACTGACATGCATGGCATTCCCTCTGGAAAAAGAAATGTAATACACTGTAAAGTTATATGTGATTCAATGTAATATAAACGAGATTATGATGATAATAAGTAAATAAATAAAAGCCAGGGTCTTCTTGTTTTTGTTTTTGTTTTATGGCTGAGTAGTATTCCATAGAGTATATGTACCACACTTTTTTTCAATCCATTCATCTGTTTGTAGGCATTTTGGGTCCATAACTTTTTCTAAAGTTTATTTATTCACTTTTTCCATATGGACAGAGAAGGCATCAACAAGGTCCTCACATTCAATCCACCCCTAGCCACAGCTAGCCCAGATCACGGCCCCCAGTGTGTATGGGGAGGTCACGTTCCCACACAAGTGCAGTTGTGTGATCACTGTGCCACCATTGGGCTCCACATCCATACATTGGTGCTATTATAATAACTCATTCTGACAGCAAATTTATATTGGCTGCCCACTCCATGACTAGTTCTTTACTCAGTACTTAACACTATGCTACACTATCACAATGGTACAATCTGTGACCACTGGGAAGATATGGAACAGAGTAATTGTCTAACTTAATACGAACATTTTCCCTATAACCGTAATAACCTACATTAAGAGAAATGAAATGAGCCAATTATTCTCCTACAAATCTCATATTTAAGCCATTTCCGAGAACTTACAAAATTGAGACTATAATTCCAAATTCTTTTGCAGCACTTGTATTTACCAATAGAAACTAATATTCATATATCAGGATAACTAGGGCACATCAGTATTTTTCTATATATAAAATTGCTTGGAAAGACCAGCAGATGACAAAATGGTTATGTTGCTGGACACCCACATAGTCAACTGCAGTTCAAGTCCTGGACTCTGTGGCTTAAAACTCACACTGGGCGCATGTGCATGCAGGACCAAAATCCCAAGAAGAGAATGGAGGAGAAGGGATTGTGGTGTGGCCATTCCCCTGGAGGGTGATTTCTCACTTTCTGTCTGCCTTTCTGGCGAGTGCACACACCCAGTAAAAACTTCTTTAAAAAATTGCTTGGAAAAAAATATAATTCACCTCTCTTAATCCATATTAACAACAAGTGTCTGATCATAGGGTTCTACTGTTATTCCAGTTCTACCTCACAGGCTACTTAAGGCATCTGCCTAGGCAGTACTGATAATGTTGCTTTCTCTTCTACTTCAGTTTAGCAAATGGTTTAATTACCAAATCAATAGACAAATCAGTAGATCTTTTGAGATCCCTTAGTACTGCATGCCACAAAGTAAAAAAAGAGAAAGAGAAAAAAAAAAAAAGCCTTTCTAGACAGACAAGACATTGCTCATGAAAATCAGCCATTGAAAAATGGCTCCATGTCTGCTGCATACTCACAGTCGCCCTTTCTAGGTCGTGCAACCTGCACACTCTTGTTGCGCTTCAGGATGGTGAAAGCTAAGAACTGAGCCCTGAAGAAGCACTTCGAAGGCAGTCCTACTAATAGTAACTTTGAGTTGAAGATAACTGAGCTCCCACCCTTAAAAAATGGAGAGGTCCTACTTGAAGCTTTGTTCCTCACTGTGGATCCTTACATGAGAGTGGCAGGCAAAAGATTGAAGGAGGGTGATATGATGATGGGACAGCAGGTGGCCAGAGTTGTGAAAAGTAAAAACTCAGCCTGGCCAACAGGAACTGTTGTCCTGGCTTCTTCAGGGTGGACAACACATTCCATTTCTGATGGGAAAAGACCCTGATGGAAAAAGACCTGGAAAAGCTACCTACAGAATAGCCAGATAAGTTACCACTGTCTTTGGCTCTGGGGACAGTCGGCATGACAGGCCTAACTGCCTACTTTGGCCTACTTGACATCTGTGGTGTGAAGGGTGGAGAAAAGGTGCTTGTCAATGCAGCAGCAGGAGCAGTGGGCTCTGTTGAGGGGCAGACAGCCAAGCTCAAGGGCTGCAGAGTTGTTGGAGCAGCAGGATCTGATGAAAAGGTCACCTATCTTGAAAAGCTTGGATCTGATGTTGCCTTTAACTACAAAACAGTAGAGTCTTTAGAGAAAACTTTTAAAAAAGCCTCTCCTGATGGTTATGATTGTTATTTTGATAATGTAGGAGAGTTTTCGAATGTTGTTATCCCCCAGATGGAGATATTTGGAAGAATTGCTATATGTGGGCTGCCTCTACCTATAACAGGACCTGTACTCCTTCCCCAGGCCCACCCCCAGAGATTATCATCTATCAGCAACTCTGCATGGAAGGGTTCATCGTCTCCCACTGGCAAGGAGAAAACCGCCAAAAAGCTCTGAAGAACTTGCTGATATGGGTCTTGGAGGGTAAAATCCAGTACCAAGAATATGTCATTGAAGGATTTGAAAACATGCCAGCTGCATTTATGGGAATGCTGAAAGGAGATAATTTGGGGAAAACAATAGTGAAAGCATGAACAAAAAATGACACGTGGCATCTGGAGATCATTTGGATGGTTACCTGATTTGTTTTCACCTTTTAATAAAAATGTATACTGCCTAAAAAATAAAAATGACTCCAATAATCTAACAGTCAACCCAAGAGCTGGTCACTGTGCAAATCCTGGGCTTCATGAACTACATAGCAGTAATCAACATGGCTGCTGATCTGAGACAATAAGAAAATGCTGGCAAAGGCTACTGTTCGCAAGGGCAATTATCCCAGTGTTGCAAGATAGCTCATCAGTGTTTCCTTTTGTCACTCATCTGGTAGAAAAAAAAAAGATTAAATTTTTCATTTCTGCAGATGATTAAAATTCTTACAAAAGTTGTGTGGTTTTCAGCTGGGTGGGGGTGGTGAAAAAAAGACAGGAAAGATGGGGAGGGGAAAGGCATGACTGTGGAGGATGGTTAAAAAAGAAAAAAATCACAGTAGCTCAGAAAATTAAAAGTCATCCTTACAACAGTTAAAGATGGAAAAAACAAAATTCCATGCAAAGAGAAATAAAGACCCTAATATTGGATTCAAAGATTCAAAGAGCTCATTTTACAGTCAAACTAATATCACACTTCATGCAACACATTTGACACTGTTTACGCCTCATTTGCCACAAAAAGATCATGGTAAACAAAGATTACATTCCCCCCCAAAGTTACTAGCTGAAACCAGGTGCAGTCAGGATTATTCAACCTTGAAGAAGTCATAATGAAGACAGGATATCTTCCCATATGCAAAGAGTAAGATTCTTTTCATAATTATGGAGCATTCAGCAACAACTGACTTACTTAGAATCTGTAAGAAAGTGAGAAACAATAACAGGGTCTTTGGGAGCACTTCGTTTCTATTAGCAGCATTGATTTCACTAAAGCTCAGTGATCATTACCTGCTACCACGATGAAACTGTTCAACCCTCTGAGAGTAAAGGACTTTTTAAAAAAGCTATCTTATTTAACCCCTTGGCATCAATAACAGAGAAAGATGTGTCATAGCGAAGGACTCATCCCGAGAAGTAATACAGAACAGCAGAGTGGACTGAGGATGAGAAGCCCAGACTTCTGCCACTGAAGAGCTTCTTTTGAAGCCTCAGCTTCCTCCTAAGGAAGTAACTTACTAGATGATCTAGGAGGCCTTCGCCAGCATTCAAAATTTCATTTTACCTTAGAATTTGGATGACAGACCAATAAAGAGATTAATGCTGCCTTTTTTCTTGGGGGGGGGGGGTGCATGTGCTTGCCAGAGAAAGAGAGAGAGAAAGAGAGAGAGAAAGTGAGACACCACCTCCCAGGGAGGATGGCCAACCTACAATCCCTATTCCTCCATTCTCCTCTCAGGATTTTGGGCACACATGCATATGCGCCCAGCATGTTTCTCAAACAGCCAAGCCCACACCAAGCCTGGTGTTTAAGTCACTAGGGGACCTGCTGGCCCTAATGCTGCTTTCAATTGCAAAGTATTTTCCAACATTGGCTGAAAAAGTCTATCGTGACCATAGGCAATACCCGGAATTCAAGAACACATATCATAAATTGGTTGCTTTGCAAATACGGTTGTGCTTAACGTTCAACAATAGCCAACAGAAATGTCTGTGATGACAAAATCAGTCTGTATCGGAGCCATCCAACATGGTAGCTACCAGTCACATGCAGCTATTGAGCATCTGAAA